CCAAAAGTCTCGGTGCTGGCAACATCACTGTGTTGAACTGGGAAGCCCATCTACCAGTAATGGCAGAATGAATTCTGCCATTTTGAAATCTTATGGAAACATTTTGTAACAATTTAAATTATTTGTTCTTGTCAATTTATTATTTTTTGACCCCAATTATAGATGCTGCTACAGTACTCCACATTTAACTTTAATTCACTAAATGCACATGTCTTTTAAAAATCTTAGGATAAAATCCCCAAGATGAAGGCAGTTTACATATCAACTAACTAAAAACCAGTGTTAAATGTAACGAAATGCCAATTTCAGGGTGAGCCCCGGAGGCTCCCTGAAGCTACCACACACATTTCAGTGCCATACTCTCAGGTGCCAACAGTCACAGGAGTTTTTGTTGGCCTACTGGGTACCTAGAGCCAGAACCTGGTCCCCTCAATGAGGCACAGGGAGTGATGGCCTATGAAAACTTGACATTTATAGCCTAACATAATTGCCACCGCCAGGATGCACCCAGAAAGGTAGGCGAACCAAAATAAACCACTGCATGGTTTAAGAAGAGTTCTCAGCGTCAAAATCACCAAAAAGACTCCCCCAACAAAATTAAACCACTCAATTTTCTTGAAACAAGTCTCAGCTAGTTCATGACCCACATTGGGGGAGGGAGATGCTTCTTTGAGGGGACCAGGTTCTGGCTCTGGGGCACCGGTAGGCCAATAAGAACTCCTGCGACTGATGGCACCTGATAGCATGGCAATAATCGGTGTATGATAGCATCAAGGAGCCGAAAGGGCTCCCCCCAGAAAACCATTTAGCACTCACACTACTGGATAAAACTATATATCAGGAATGCTTTCAAATATTATATAATAGTTGAATTATATTAGATTAAAAAACCAGCATTAAATGTAATGAAATGCCTTTCTGGGTAGGCCTCAGTGGCTCTCTGGAGCTATCCAGACCACGATAGTTCCACACAATAGTCACATCAGTGTTAAGAGTCTTTGATAGCTTACCATACACCAGAGTCAGAACCTGGCCCCAACCCTCTAACAGAGGCACATGGGGCAGGCAGTGAACTCTACCTAGATAAAGCTTGTCACCACTAGGTGGCTGCCAGCTTCCCCATGTCAACACTCCTCAGCCCTTTGGCTGGTGTCCAACTACAGTATTTGGACTCCTCCTCGATTTGCCAGCCTATTGGGTCCCAACTGTTTTATTGGTAAGTGTTGGCTATCCTATGGACTCTGTCCTTTGGAGGCATATTTGCTTGTGTATTATTTCAATGTTTGATATGTGCTTCACATGCGTGTGGACTTTGGAAACTGTCCACCTCGAGCTGCACGTGCCCAGGGCAAGCAGCTCTTTCCTAGGCACTCAGTTGGCATTGTGACTGCCCTGACAGGGTAACTTCCCATTAAGTTCTGGAGTTTGTCCCATAGAGGCTTGTCTACTGCATAGGGTGTCTTGCTCAGAGTAGTGCAAGGGTCCTTGACTTATCTCCAATGATTTGAGGTTGGGGGTTCTGGGCTTTAATTATTATGAGGTGTACTATGGTTCACAAGGTTGTTTATACTGTATAGCATGCTGCTGACACATTTCATAACCATGTTCATCCTAAATGTTGTGTTTGGTGTTAGCTCTTCTGGTGAGAATCCCTAGTGCCTGGGTCTCCTGCTTGGTTCTTACATTCAGGCCCTGGCAAGTATCACGGGTCTTTTGGTGTGGCCTGTTGTGGAATGACTTGTCAAATCGGCACTCGCTACTTGTGAGTTTGAGGGATGTTAGTAAATTTTGCTAGAAACTGATGATGGACCCCTGTAAGTTAAGAATGGGACTGGTGGCTTCTGTCCTACACGGGTGAATTCCTTAATCACAAAGTTCTCATGCTGGGATGCCTGTCAGCTGGACTGGTCAATATGGGAGGTTCATTTATTTTTTCTCCCTGTTCAGCTGTGGCTCCAGGTTTTGTACAGATTGGAGACTTATGCAGGCAGAGTGAGCCTGCTTGATGGGGTTGTGGGAGTAGTTCTACTCCCCAAGCCCGGGCCGAGGCCAGGCTTGACTTGCAAGAGTTTAGTCTATCAGGCTGTTGCTTGGAGCGGCCCGCAGGCCCACAAACCCATCACAGCCCAGTTGGTCCGGCACTCCTTGAAGAAAACAATCTAGTTTTCTCTTGAAGATGTCCACGGTTGTTCCGGCAATATCTCTGATGCTTGCTGGTAGGATGTTGAACAACCGCAGACCTTTTGCTTTTTTGCTAAAGACATAAGGGAGGGAGCGAGGGAGGGAGGACACGAATATATACAGGTATATATATATATTATATATGCAGGACCTTTAGCCTTTAGCTCTTTGGTACGCAGCTCAGCCACCATTTTTTCCAACTCTTCTGGCTTAACAGCTTGGCGTTTTTCCACCGTAGCTCCCTTTTAAAGCAGATTGGTCCGAGACGTTCCTCACTATACTGACGTTCTTATCTGAACTTTATGTCAGTAGTTTTTGATAATGATCTATAATCATTTGTATGGTGTGCAGGTGGCTGGATTATTCATATACCATCTGCACTGGGATACAACTGACCCATTTGTAGTCATTTGGATCATTTGTAGAGATGTTTGCTACATTGTTTATTTTTCTATATGAATCTTGCATTTGTCTATTTTGCTTCATTGAATTTTTTTTGTTTCTTCTGTGGTTATCTTAAGAATTTCCTACTCCATGTGTGATTGTCAAGGGGGAGGGGGAGGTTCTGGCTGTGGTCTCTGGTAGGCTACAGAGGATTCCTCGGGCTGATGTGACTCGTGGGTGTGTGTTGAACAATCTCAGTGTGGATAGCTACAGGAAGCCACCATTTGGCCCCACCATAAAATAAAAAAGTTAAAATTATGCATTTTCCTTTACTTTTGTGAACATTATTTACAAAACATCTTGAAGTCCATGCATTTCCATGAACAAATTGAATAATATAATCCTTGCACTCTTAATATCTAAAGATCAACTGAATGGTCCCAAGTTTTATTCTTGTGCAGAATGAGACTTTTTGACCACATTTCCTTGCATCTAATGCACCTGTTTATCTTGCAGCAAAATAGGTTCCTTGAAGTTAGGCAACTTCAAGAAGGTTAGTTAAAGTTAGGTTAGGTAAGTGGCATTTTGGGGTAAAGGTTAGTATTTAATGTGAGGGTGGTGGCTTGATATACCTAACAGGTTTCATGCCCTTGACAATGGCAAACCATATCTTAGACTTCCTCCAGAAAGGTCTTATTGGTTTTTGTATTCCTATTTAAAGACAAAAACCTCCTTAGATGCCCAAGGATCAGTGAATTGATTGACTCAAGATACTCAATATAGCTACTTTTGTTTAATTTTGTCTATATTCAGTAGCATTCTCTCATGATAATTCTTAATGGTTCCACTCATTGTAACTGCCCTTCCATATTTAAATCAAAAACAAAATATCCTTTCTTCCCCCCTAAGGAGTAAAATATAATCATTTCAGATATTATTTGAATTATTATTTCAACAAGAAAGAAGTATCAGAACACCAATGTCATTTACCTACCAAAGGAAATGTTGTCAAGCAAACTTCATTCCTCAAAAGCTCTACATTGGTAAGACATACAACTTTGAAGAGCAATGCATCAACTGAAATGGCTACACTTATCCCTCAAGGTGCAGTCATCGTAAGTAGATCATATAGTGTAATGTGGCCATCAAGTGATGATTTACATTTTGTGGCCATGTTTGAATACCGATGATGCCCAACTGTCTCGAGAGTTAAATTTGCTGTTACGTCCACTTCCTCATCTCTCTCTCAAATTGTAACAAGGTAGATAGTTTCCCTCCATTGTGTACTGTCCCTCTGGTCTCCTGTCACCTAATTCCATTTCCATAATTCTACTTTTGCTTGTGCTGAATTCCAGTAGCCATTTCTCTGACCACCTCTGCAACCTTTTCAACTCCTCTTAGAGGATCGTACAATCCTCATCAGTCACGTTTCTTGTCATAAATTCAGATTAGGCAAAATTGTAATTAATTTTGTCAATAAAAATTTTTGTTTGGAGGGGGTATGGAGGGGCACATTTAGACATTTTGAGGTTATCTTGAGATGATTTCGGGGCTTTAGTGTGCCCGCGGCCCGGTTCTTGACCAGGCCTCCACCCCCAGGAAGCAGCCCATAACAGCTGTCTAACTCCCAGGTACCTATTTTTACTGCTCAGTAACAGGGGCATAGGGTGAAAGAAACTCTGCCCGTTGTTTCTCGCCGGCGCCCGGGATCGAACCCGGGACCACAGGATCACTAAGTCCAGTGTGCTATCCACTTGGCCGACCGGCAAGCGGCCGACATGCTTGCAGAGTTGAGGTAGGCTCCTAGTCTTGCCTTGTGAACAATCTTAGATTAATGCAATGACTTATTTCTCACTCTTTTATCTTATTTACATATAAAATTTTGAATTGAATTAACTTCAACAACTTCTGTATCTAACTTATTCCATTTATTGACAGTTCTAGCACTGAAAAAGTTCTTCCCGATGTCTCCAACATCTCCAGTTTCTATCTTGTTCTGCCGTTCTTAGCTTTGAACAATTCTGCTTTGTTTACGTTGTCAATTTTGCCTTGAATCTTACATGTTATTGTCATGTTCTCCCTATCTCTCCTTTCCTCCAGTATGGTAAGGTCCATATTGTGTTGTTTTAAGAGAGTATACATGATAAAGCCCGGGTGCATTCTCAGAGTTAATAATGTGTTGGGGTAATGTGTGTCAGTGTGCCACAATAGTCTCACTACTGCTCAACTTACAATTCTGTATATTTACACAACTGCTTCTCACCAGTACTTATCCTCCAGTGCAGTCTACCATCACATAAGGTAATACTTTATTATCTTCACTTGTACTATCACTAATAATACCATTAACAATAGCAAACTCATTCATGTTGTCATGGGTAATGACTAAGATGAGAATAAATATTAAGACCAATGTAACCATTCACTCTCCTTACCTCACAATAGTATCCCAACTTCCCTGGCTGGTCTTTAATGGGTCTTACTGTGATGAAATTACCACCATACTCTTCAGCTGGAAACATTAGAAATTACTAATATATACATAATAACAAATACAGTATATAATTAAGTCAATTTAAATCATTCCATTCCTTAATGTATTAGGGAAGCTAAACATATGGTCTTCCTGGTAATTGTCTTTCACCTGTTTAATAAGCCAAGCCTTGATAGGCAGCTCCTCTAATATGGTGACTAAAAAAATCTGACAAGATCATTTGCAATAAATTTATTTTAAGAAAATAATGGAGGAGGAAGTAGATGACAAATGCAAACCAGGTCACAGATGAGAACAGACTGTGCTAACAAATGCCAACAAGATAAAGCAGCAAGACCCTCAACATAAGGGGCCAGATTCACGAAGCAGTTACGCAAGCACTGACGAACCTATACAACTTTTCACAACGTTTGGCGACTTTGTTTACACTTATTAAACAGATAATGAGCTCCGAAGCACCAGGAGGCTGTTTATAACAATAACAACAGTTGATTGGGAAGTCTTCATGCTTCTAAACTGTTTAATAAATGTAACCAAAGCCGTCAAAGATTGAGGAAAGATGTACACGTTCGTAAGCACTTGCGTAACCGCTTCGTGAATCTGGCCCCAAAAGATGTACACGTTCGTAAGCACTTGCATAACTGCTTCATGAATCTGGCCTAATGTTTGGAGACAGGTAAATTTTGTAATAGTATGGAATCTACTAGAGGGGGAGCAGCATGTGTACACAAGGAAGCTACAGAAGAAGTGAAACAAGGAAGGCACCGACTGGTGATGAAGTCACCTTCACAAGAGACAAGAAGCAGCTAAGGGAGCATGGACTAGTCTCTAATAGACTAATATGTATGAAGACAGAGGGGTTAAGTCACCAAAGACAAGATGAGTAAAGCAACCGCTTCATCGTATAGATAACAAGACGTGAGAACAGACTCTCGATTATAAAGTTATCAGACTGCCATATATGCTCGCTAATTTTTATGACAGACGCCTACTTCATTTCCTTTAAAGAAAATTACATTATTTTTTTAAGAGGAAACACATTCCAATACGAAGATTTAAGGTCGAGACGAAGTGTACAGAGGGAAGCCATTGACAATAAGACTGCAGAGGTAGTAACACATCTGAGAACACATCAACAAGGCCAAGAATAGAAGACAGTGAAGGAAGATATGGTACAACAAATATTGAGTAACTACAGAAATAGTGGGAAAAATTTAGGATAGACTTTAATTTGGAGTCTAATGCATCCAACAGCCTGGTTGACCAGTCCGTAAGGACGCTAAACTCCAAAATCATCGAGGTTATCTCAAGGTAAGGGGGAGAGGGACCAGGTGAGAGCATGTGAGAGGGAGAGGGACCAGGTGAGAGCATGTGAGAGGGACCAGGTGAGAACATGTGAGAGGGACCAGGTGAGAGCATGTGAGAGGGACCAGGTGAGAGCATGTGAGAGGGACCAGGTGAGAGCATGTGAGAGGGAGAGGGACCAGGTGAGAGCATGTGAGAGGGAGAGGGACCAGGTGAGAGCATGTGAGAGGGAGAGGGACCAGGTGAGAGCATGTGAGAGGGAGAGGGACCAGGTGAGAGCATGTAAGAGGGAGAGGGACCAGGTGAGAGCATGTGAGAGGGAGAGGGACCAGGTGAGAGCATGTGAGAGGGAGAGGGACCAGGTGAGAGCATGTGAGAGGGAGAGGGACCAGGTGAGAGCATGTGAGAGGGAGAGGGACCAGGTGAGAGCACATGGGTAGGGGGGGATGTGTGGTCAGAATGGAAGAATATGTAGTGGGTAAGACTACATGGGATAAACTACACCTAACCCCAATCCATTAATGACTGTAATAGTGGCATAGATGATGCTGCCCATATAGGATTTTGGCAGACATACCGAGTTCTTACCTAATTGTGTATACAGGTAGCAAGATCCAGCATCTCCACCTGCACCTCATTGCTATTATATCTGGTGTATTTATATCTACCGTTTTTCCACTTCCCTGTCATTGTTGCTCTTGAAACGTTGAAAGATGTTTATTTTCACTATATTTGATTCAAACTTATTCCACTTGTTTGCCACACTTCCTACACACAAATATGCCTGTGCCCACTTATTTCATTCTCTCATCCAGTAAAAGATTACTGTTATCCCCACTGACTAATCCCCTTGGCACCTTGCATGTTGAGGTCATATTCTCGTGTCCTCCTATTGTCTAATGTGGATAGGTTTAGTTCATCTAGCCTATCCTCAAAGGTCATTTTTTTTACCTCTGGCACCAGTGGTATTGCAAATTACCGAGTTCTCTCAGTTTTCTTCTTGTACATTACCAGGTGTGGGATCTTCTGGTCTAACACAGTGTGTATAACAGTCTGAAGGATTCCTCCGTCGGATTCTTTACCAACATTCTTATGCCTGCCAGTCTTGCATAAGCAGCTAATATTATGTTAATGTGTGCCTCTGGTGTTAAAATCTCTATCACCAGGTTCTGTTGGCAGATATTCATCACATCACAACTTGACATTAAGACACACAGAAATCACAGTAGCGTGATGTATCAAATGAACAAATCCACAAGGGCCGTGACGAGGATTCGAACCTACGTCCGAGAGCATCCCAGACGTCACGTCACGGCCCTTGTAGACTTGTTCATTTGACATTAGGATTTCATTCAGTAAAATTCTCCCATAAAGTACAGAAATTCATCAGCTACTGTATTCTCCAAGTAAGAATCCCAATTTTCTTTTTGTTTTCTTTATATTTCATTTTAGCATATTTTAAATATGTATACTGTTTACAAATAATGTTTTTGCCATTATATGTAAAAGGAAGCATTTCATCCCTTATGGGTCTGTTCCATACAGTTCACCAAATCTGGATTGTACTAAATGAAGAATTGCCAACTTTAAAACTACATTACTGTATTCAGGATACAAAGCTGAAAATTTACATGCCACTGTATACAGCATGGTTCTAAAATACACACATTCAAAATATTGGTATAAAGAAAATACCTTTATATCTTAACTGCTAAAACAACTCTACCAACTGCATATATTGCATAGCAAAACTTCTTAGGGTACCATCAGTAACAGACTACTGGGATTATCACCCAGAATCTAGATGTGAAAAATGTTTGGAGCATCTACGCTTATTGGTTGTCAAGATATGGGCCAAGACCATACACTCTCTCTCCGGTGACTTTAGCTCTTTTCTGAGTGTCTAGGAAGTATCCAGGCAATATGTGAAGGCATTCTCCAGATTAGGAACTCCTTTGGGAAATACCCAATAACAGCACCTAGATATTCAATCCATGGACTACATAGATAAGGGACAACAGAAAGTGGGGGCACGGGTGGAAGTTAAAAACAAATGAGTCAGAATACTCATATGCAGTACGAGTAGTTAACAAGTGGGATGAGTTGAACCTGAGAGGGGGGGGGGGGGAGACTGGAACCATCCAGCAATCAAAGTTTCACCAGTATGAACAAGAACTTCATTTAATTATGAGATGGAGCGAGAGCTCGATCTTTCTCACTCTACACACAAGCCAAGCATAGACTATATATAAATATCTCAAGATATTTATATATCAAAATCCACTTACCAAGTGAGAAAAACCTAATTGAAATGCAAGGAGCTACAAATATATATTCTATTGCAAGAGTAATTTTACACAATTATATTTGATGAATGATCTATGTACAAATGACATTGTTTTAGCCCAGCAATACTATTCATTTGGAGAAACAAGCTAGACCAAAAATATTATGGATTTTCAATCAAACAAGCAACACAGTAAAGTAAGAAGACTAGTGTACTAATAGCCAGAACCTTCGGTGGCAATATCTGAAACTTCCTCCTTCCCGATTACTGGCTTTGTCAAGGGATCACAAGTCCTCACACCAGCCTTATGGCTACCTTCAGTAATAAACATTAATACAAAACACAATTATTACCTACCCAATTTTTTATTTTCATCGTCAATACGGTCATTATCCTCATCATCATCTTCACAATCCATATTGTCATTCCACATATTCTTGTCACTATAGCCATAATCATCATCATCTTGCTTCTGTTTCTTGTTGTCCTCGGGATGGTCTTGAGGTGCATCGCGCTTGTATCCTGCTGAAGGCCTTGTCCATATATTCCCTAATATACCAGTATGGAAAAACAGAAATGTTGTGTGCGGAAAACTGACATAATACGGAGCATTCACGCCCGAACCTCGTGACGCAGCCTAAAACTGCTTCCGCTGGGTCCGGCGTTCAGTAGTGCTGAAATTATTGTTACTTACTTCCTTGCCCTTTATTAACTGACCAAAAACATTTAAAAAATTATTTATCTTTATAATGTATACTTACATTACCCAATGTTAACCCATCCACTGCTTCCATCCCCATCGGTGATTTCCTCTTGTGCTGAAATTACCTTGTGTGACTGATCCTCTTGGGGTTTAAATGCTTTTTCCACATGCATCTGGATGTAGGACTTTTAAATAGCCTAGCAGTCAAAAGGGTAAACCACAACAAGAGATCTTGAAACATACAGAACTGCAGGGAAGCCTACTGTTCAAATTCTTTGTTTTAATAAAATACTTGTTATAATAATAACCTTTCATACAACAGTTGGGTTACTTACCATTTATTAATACATCCATCTGCCTCAAGAACTCTCTCATTACATCGAACTTACTACATTCCAAATTTCAAAAAGATTGTGGTGCAAAACAAGATACTCCAGCTCCTCAACAGCCTTGGATTAACATATCACAGACTGCAGGATATTTACACTTTAACCTACAAGCCCCAACCCTCTAAACCCAAGTCTAATGTATAAACTTCCTTGGTCCCTCAAACTTGGTTTTGCTCCCTAAACTGTTCAACTTGGTTACTCTCTCTACATGCTTTCCTTCCTCACCAGTCCAGTTTTGCACCTTGCAAGCTAATAAGTACTTAATAACTAGCACGGGTATTTCTTCGTGGGACAGGTCACGAGATGAGATAATCAGTATTTGATGTATATTGACACGACAAATAATGCCGACAACAGAATTAAGACCCTGTTAACAAATATATATTTCACAAAAATAGTGATGCCTTGGAAGACACAGCCACCTCAGGAAGCAGTCAAGGTCTGTGAGTGGCTGGAAAAAAAAGGTTAAATATCTATGTGCAGTAGTTAAGACACCCAACCCCACACATCTCAAAACAAAGGTTGTGATAATGTTTTGTTTCGTCCTGGACCACTATCAACTTGTGTTTCATCACTTCCTTTATTTTCAGATACATGGGTTGGGTGTCTTATTTCACTGGGCAACAATTTTTAAAAAGTTGTCTGCTTCAGAGATAAAAAGAGCTCTTTATCATGCATTATAACATGCTGAATCCAAATAAAATTAAATTTCCTGATTAGGTATAGCTTTGTGTGTGAGGATGGTAACAAAATCTTGCTTTATTCAACCCATGTGGTGGCTGCTATAAGTTTTTCACCCAGGCTCCAATGAGGGGGCAGAGTGACCAGTCTCTCATAACACACACACACACACACTCGCACAACTATCCCACTCACAAAGAAAATAGCAGTAATGTGTGTATTCTCCACCCTGCACACCCATCACAACACCAACAACCTTCAAGTCCTCACGCTGCTGCTGCTGCTGCTGCTGATGTTGGCCATTGTTTATTCATGTCAAAAGCTGCTTCATGTTGTCATAAGTCATTCATTTGGGCTATAAAACCCAAACCCAATGGAATTGATGGCAAAACGCTCCCATTATGCAGCAAAACAGGTTAAGATTCATCTTGTATGAAAACTAGAGCTAATCAACAATTTCAAACATATTCAGTGACCCAGAATTAGTCAAGATCGACTTCAATTGTTTCAGAAGCATTTTTGGCTGTAGACCCGTGTTTTCAGCCATGTTATTGTGACTTACTGTCTTTTACGTGTAGTTTACCTAAAATACCGGAATAGAATGTCTTATTAAAGGAAACGTATATCTGCTAAGAATGAAACAACACAAATATAAGAGTGTGTACTATATCTTAGGAATGAAAAGATGTGTTGAATTGATAAAAGACAAAAAGGATATTCTGTCAACACTAACGAGTCAAGTCGCAACTTAATTATTTGCTTAAAACCAGACTTAAAATCCCAGTCATGCTCCACAGTTCCCCCGTTTATGAAGTCCAATATCAGTTCTAATGCTCAACATCTCTCGGGTTTCCTAATGGGAAGTTAGGTAAATCCATTTTAGTACAATGTTTTAAGCAACACTATTCAATTTTCCTCTTACTCCTACAATACTTCCCAATTATATTGTGGTGAGAGATTGGGGTGGAGATGATGACAATCATGATGGCAACATAACTGTGAAGATGGTCTTAGAAATGTTCAGAGAAAGCAATACATGCAACTGCTGCTTAAATTCCAAGATGCACAAAGGTCTTCTTAATTTTACAGATTATTATGTCAGGTCCTTTGGTTATGGATACATTCTCCCACTAATGCTAATTACTTTAAGAGAATGGACTACATGCCACATCACACAATGAACTAATTTTGCAGACATCAGGCTGACCCAGTGAACGATCTACCATCTTAGAAGCAAAATGGGTATACCCTTTGCCAATAATGGTTCTTGGTTACATCACACCCACTTCAGCGCCACTTGTTCCTGACAGCACTCACACTAGTGCCACCTGTTCCTGACAGCACCCACACCAGTGCTACCTGTTCTTGACAGCACCCACACCAGTGCCACCTGTTCTCGACAGCACCCACACCAGCGCCACCTGTTCTTGACAGCACCCACACCAGTGCCACCTGTTCTTGACAGCACCCACACCAGCGCCACCTGTTCTTGACAGCACCCACACCAGTGCTACCTGTTCTTGACAGCACCCACACCAGCGCCACCTGTTCTTGACAGCACCCACACCAGTGCCACCTGTTCTTGACAGCACCCACACCAGTGCCACCTGTTCCTGACAGCACCCACACCAGCGCCACCTGTTCTTGACAGCACTCACACCAGCGCCACCTGTTCTTGACAGCACCCACACCAGTGCTACCTGTTCTTGACAGCACCCACACCAGTGCCACCTGTTCTTGACAGCACCCACACCAGTGCCACCTGTTCTTGACAGCACCCACACCAGTGCCACCTGTTCTTGACAGCACCCACACCAGTGCCACCTGTTCTTGACAGCACCCACACCAGCGCCACCTGTTCTTGACAGCACCCACACCAGCGCCACCTATCCATGGCTACACTCGGCACAATGACTTTGCTAGCCTAGTCCAGTTTTTTTTTATAATCCGAGAAGTAGGCCAACCTGCATTTTATTTCAACCAGCAGTTTGTCTACTTCTTCACAAGGTGTCAGACAAGTAATTTAATGCTCAATCAATCTTTACTTACATGAGAAGGCCAAACACAATACATTGTTTGGTAAATGTTTCAAGCATTACTTAACAAGTGCACAACACGTAGAAGCAGCCAGTATGTCTAAGATATACTAAATGAGGCCTATTTTTCAGGAAAAGAAATTTGCAAAGGGAGCAAGGCATTAAATATTTACAAAGAAAATATGGTCAAGAATTAAATTACAAGTAATGGATACCATACAACGCTTAATGACACAGTTAGGCTTATGCCTCACACATTAAAACTGTAGATGTATGAAGGGCAACATTTAAAGACTCGTTAAAGTCTTGCAAAAAATATAATTGCAAAAGAGGGAAAAAAAGACCACCTCATAACCAAGCTTCAAGTCATAGTTGATAAAAGTTATGACAAGACTCAAGAATGATGACACATTTGAAATTAAGACATTCATATCATATAATATGGGAAACATAACCACTTGTATTAAGAACAGCAGAACAAGCAGAGATTATCCCACTGGGCCAAGATGCACTGGTCAGATTTAAATACTAGTTTACTAGAGTTTTTAAGTTGACTGTTGCAACAAGCTAAAATGTTTCATGCTTCAAGAGAAACAAAACAAGTGTAATGTTAGTAAGAAGACAATAGGGCAGAGTCGCAGGTTGCCCATGGACTCTTGCCACAATGTTTACAACTAGTGGAAACTTATGATAAGCATCATTCACCAAAACTGATCCCCTTAGAAGAACATTCATAATAGGAAGTATGGCGGCAGATCACATACATTAAAGAGGTAAGATAAGTAAATGGAAAGGTGTGGTGGCGAGGTGTGCTTACTCAACTGTGGAGGCGAGGTGTGCTTACTCAACTGTGGTGGCGTGATGTGCTTACTCAACTGTGGTGGCGAGGTGTGCTTACTCAACTGTGGTGGCGAGGTGTGCTTACTCAACTGTGGTGGCGAGGTGTGCTTACTCAACTGTGGAGGCGAGGTGTGCTTACTCAACTGTGGTGGCGTGATGTGCTTACTCAACTGTGGTGGCGAGGTGTGCTTACTCAACTGTGGTGGCGAGGTGTGCTTACTCAACTGTGGTGGCGAGGTGTGCTTACTCAACTGTGGTGGCGAGGTGTGCTTACTCAACTGTGGTGGCGAGGTGTGCTTACTCAACTGTGGTGGTGAGGTGTGCTTACTCAACTGTGGTGGCGAGGTGTGCTTACTCAACTGTGGTGGTGAGGTGTGCTTACTCAACTGTGGTGGTGAGGTGTGCTTACTCAACTGTGGAGGCGAGGTGTGCTTACTCAACTGTGGTGGCGTGATGTGCTTACTCAACTGTGGTGGCGTGATGTGCTTACTCAACTGTGGTGGCGAGGTGTGCTTACTCAACTGTGGTGGCGAGGTGTGCTTACTCAACTGTGGTGGCGAGGTGTGCTTACTCAACTGTGGTGGTGAGGTGTGCTTACTCAACTGTGGTGGCGAGGTGTGCTTACTCAACTGTGGTGGTGAGGTGTGCTTACTCAACTGTGGAGGCGAGGTGTGCTTACTCAACTGTGGTGGCGTGATGTGCTTACTCAACTGTGGTGGCGTGATGTGCTTACTCAACTGTGGTGGCGAGGTGTGCTTACTCAACTGTGGTGGCGAGGTGTGCTTACTCAACTGTGGTGGCGAGGTGTGCTTACTCAACTGTGGTGGCGAGGTGTGCTTACTCAACTGTGGTGGCGAGGTGTGCTTACTCAAC